GAATATGTTTATATATATATATATATATAGGTGGCACATTATCTTCAGACATAATAACAGTTTTTCAATTCATGACATCGTCCTGAACATGCATGAAATATTTGCCACTGGACATTAAGCAACCAATAATCAATAAATCAATCAATTCATGACGAAATAGATCACCTTCCTTAAGAAAGTTTATCACCAAGTTGCTTTAATTTTCCTGCACAAGGTTTCATAGTACACACTTTTCTGTGTACAAAGTAATTGCATGGATGATACATTATCATAATTTTAAGATATCGTTGTACTCTAATCAAGGTATAAAGAACCATATATGTATTACCCTTTATTTAAATGATAAAATTTGCAATTGTCAAAAACAATTTTTAGATCCAAAGATTTTAATAGCAGGATATTTAAAAATCAACGTGAAAACTAATTACAAACTATTTAATTTAATTTGGAACACAGCATTTTATTTCAAAATAGCCAGTGGCAATTTTTGTTTTAAATATCTTGATTACGATACAATGAAATCTTACCCTTGTGGTCATTCATGCGTAGTTACTTAGTACACAGGAAAAGTATGTACTATGAAAATTAGAAGGCAAATATAAGCAATTTGATTGGATGAGAAGTTGTAAGTATGTGCTAAGTATAAGTAAACATCGGGATAATCCCTTCCTCAAAATGTACATTATTTACAAACATTTTTCTCAATTAAGAAACATCAAATCATTGGTCGACAACAAAATAAAATTATTTGCATGTGAATTGTGATCACGACTTTTCTGACTCAAATTATTGTTAGTTTTGGGGGGTAAAATTTGTGAAAGGACGCTAAGAATATCATAGTGAAACTCAGGTGTGGTACTGACAGTATGAGATTTTCGGCGGGTTCAAACTAATACAAACGACGTGCAGTTGTACAGGTAAGAATAACAATTTTACCAGCAGCGTATTGTTGTCATACAGTTGTAACAGGAGGGTCGGGCTTGGATTCTTCCGTCCCCTCTAGTTAGTTATTTCTGTCGTGTTAATAACTGAGTTATATGACTCTATTCACCAAATATACCAATAGCTATATAGTGTGCTGACGATGGATGCCAAGTGAGATCATTAGACTATCTCAGTTCTTATAGTTCTTCTCAGGGAACTGAGCTATGACAGTAGGATAAAAAGATAATAAAGATGTTTATATTTGTATTAAATAAACATGATGTTAAGTAACAAAAACAGTATACAATATCAACAAATGTAAACTTGTCTAAAAGGTAAATTAAATTCAACAGTTTATAAGTTTAACAATAGTAAAATAATATTCTGAGTAGTATAACAATTACTTACATTTCAAGATAAATTGAGTATTCGAGTGGACCCAAAGTTTTATAACCCGTTTTTGTATTGACTTATTATTTATAGCTTTTGATTTATATTTAGAACTGTATTAAATACTTATTTATTTTAAATGTTAAAGACTGTAAAAGAACACGCTGTGGTAGTGGTTAGGAAAGGACTTTCAAATTTATAGAAATAACTTTTCTACATCTTTGGTCTATATCATAGGGAAACCTAGTATCAGTAAGAACTGATTATAAATATGTATGAGCCTTATATTAGCTACTGGTCTGAAGGCAAACTATTATTTGAACTTAGATTATATAACTAAATTAATTATTTACGGTACAAAGGTTACATATAATTTTTCCTTCTTCAAAAATATTTAAATATACTCAGAATTTTTCCAAGATAATTTATGACTAATTATAAAAAGTGATAATCTATAAAGATCATACATTACAACTTTAATTTACTTAAACAATATCAAACTAATAACAAAATAAAATAAGCGCAAGGGAGATAATTATTCTTTATCTTACACAAACTTGCTGAATATAACATAAATGGACCATTCCTCAATATTCTAAAAGATATGTACAAAGAAGTTTTATTTGCAGTTAAAGTCACTGAAGGCATTACTAAGATGTTTCCTTCCACAGTTGGAGTAAAACAAGGCTGCATTCTAAGCCATACCTTATTTTCTTTTTATATAAATGATTTAACCTCCATGTTTGATAACTCATGTGATCCTGTAACATTACATGACATAAAATTGTCTAGTCTTTTATATGCTGATGACTTAGTATTAATATCAGAATCTTCAGAAGGTTTACAAAATTGTCTAAACAAGTTAAACACTTATTGTGAAAAATGGAACTTGACTGTCAATCTTGACAAGACGAAAACAATGATATTTAATAAAAGTGGTAAAAAACTTACAAAAAACAAGTTTGTATTGAATAATGAAGTAATCGAATGCTGCACAGAATATAAATATTTAGGTATACTATTCAAGCCATCAGGAATTTTCACTAATGCTGTAAATCTCCTCTGTAAAAAATCTTCAAAGGCATTGTTTTGTATTAAAAAAAATCCTTTACTCAGATAAGATGGATGTTTTTCCCCATATGAAACTTTTTAATTCTTGTGTTAGTCCAATATTACTGTATTGTAGTGAGATATGGTCACTAAATATTGTGAAGAACAACAAAACTCTTGAATCTCAATACTTATCAATGGAATCAGTAAAACTCCAGATCAAATTTGCGAAAAGTCTTCTTAATGTTAATTCAAAGGCAGTAAATACAGCTGTATTAGCTGAATTGGGAATGTACCCTATTGGTATACAGGCCCTTAAGTCTTCTGTAGGATTTTGGTTACATATTTTAAATTCAAATGAAAATGAGTCTTTATTATATAATGTTTATAAAGTTAACAAGCAGTTAAATGATGGATTTGCTTCAAAAATTAAAATGCTACTATCAAAATCGAATTTCACTCATGTTTGGGAAAATCAATGTACCTTTTCTAAAAAACGATTACTTTTAGCTCAATGAAAATTACATTATATTTTGGAAAAATTGTCTCTTTAATGATGATAATTCAATAAATGGAAATAAACTAAGAACCTACAGAAAATTTAAAGTAAAGTATGAACTAGAAAAGTACCTTTAAATTTATTGAATTTAGATAAAAATGTTACAAAAAATTATGCCAAAATAAGAATAAGTAATAGTACATGTATGCTGGCTGTTGAACGCGATAGATACAACAAAACAGCCTTGGAAAATAGAATATGTTTATGCCATAAAGAGGTGGAAGATGAATACCATTTTATCATAACATGTACAGAAATTAATAAAACTAGGATCAAAATGTTTAATGAAATTTCTAGTATTGTCCCCAGTTTTAATTCAATGAGTAAAGAAAACAAATTTGATTTTATATTTTCTTGTGAAGAATGTGATATTTTACTTATCATTGTTAACAATATAAGTGAAATGTATAATGAGAGAAACAATTATAATGTCAATATATGAACTGTGTGTGATTGGTCGCTTAACTTATAATGTTATATATAATCATAATATTTGTATTGATAATTTTATAGAGGAGGCATGCTGTCAAAAATAGTATAACACTTAATATTAATTATCTTTATTTTTTTTTTCAATGCTACATGTTTGTATTATTTAATGTCTATCGTTTTGTCATTAATATGCCTGTCTGTCTGTCTGTCTGTCTGTCTGTTTGTTTGTTTTGTTTTGGTTTTGTATTGGTTTGTTTATTTAGTAACAATCCTATTGTTTGGATTTTAAACTAATAAAATTCTTATTCTTATTCTTATTCTTATTCTTATTCTTCTGATTCTTATTCTTATTCTTATAGCGAAATTGTTACACAGTGATGAGGGTTTGGATGGGGACACTTTTATTATTTCTGTATTGTTTTATATTTAAGGCAATGTTTCTTTTTTCTTTTATTTTTTGCCTATTTTTCTCTATTTCTTTCTCGGGTGACCTGTGTCAAAACTAAATTTCTGTCCCTATCCAATTTACACCTATTTTCAAGTGGCAGTTTAAATTTCCCGCCTATCATCCCGGTAGACCCCTTTTACAGGACCGAACCTTTATGTATTTATTGCTAATTTGTTTATGTCCTGAATGTGCATGAAATATTTTCCACTGGGCGTAAAGCAGACATCAATCAATCGATCAACTGAACACTCTGATACGAAAATCAGTTAATGAACCATGATGGTCTGGACAGGGGGTCCATATTCTCTATGTTTTTCATATTTTAACATCCCATTATTCTCTGCTCTTTTTGTTTCTGTAATTGTGTAGTATTGGTCCATTATTCTCTATTATGTAGACCCCATCCATACCCTCAACTAAGGTATTCTCTTACAGCGTCACCTTGTAGAACATTCTTTTCTTTTTGTAACAACGGGTTACAGCTATATTGACATATAACCGACATCACCTAAAGTCCTTTTATTCATGATTGGGTCTGGATGTGGTTTGCAGAATAGAAAATATTGTCTAAAGGAAAAAGTGTACAATAAAGGGCATTTAAAAAAAAGGGTAGAGAAAAAAGGGAAAAAAATAATGAATAGTTACTAATGGGGTGGTAAAGCATAAGGAATAGAGAAAAAGGACATAAATAAATTTAGAATTTAGAAATGAAGGACCCATTTCGGACCCTCAACTATCAGTGATATTTTTCAGAATGGTAAACAATTGACAAAAATATAAAGTTTAGAAACACCAATAATGACTAAAAGGTGCAGAATAAATAAAGAAAAGAGAATGGTGGGTTGGTAAACTGTAATGAATAGATGATGATGATTATGGATGGCTGCTGCAAATTAATATGCATATTTAGGACGGGAACATGTTTGTGTAATACGAATATCAACCCTGCTTTGTACTAGACCGACACGCTGAGCCGGATTTTTCCGTGCTAGTTCACAAGGTAACTTGTCACAAGGTAACAGTCCGCAGGAAAATATGTCACCTTACGCGGACACATTATTCCGACTCCGAGCTGACCAGTCTAATGTCGCGTGTTTAGCAGAGAATACCAATTTTAAAGTCTTTGGTTTGACCCGGCCGGGGTTCGAACCCACGGCCTCCCCCACTCGAGACGAACACGCTACCACGAGACCACCGAGGCGGTTATAAAGAATAGAGTATAATAGGCAAAATAGATAAAGAATAGGAAAAAAATACAAAAAGTAAAAACACCTGTTATTCCTGATTTCTTTTACAGAAAGATCTCAATTACGTCGACTCATGTGTTAGAGTGATGATCCTGCTATTGGTATTAACAGTGTTACCTGTTTGTATATATGGAGGTAAGAGAAACTCAAACATTATAATGAGGGTCTGGATGGGTATACAGAATAGAGAATAATAGGCAAAAAGTGCAGAATAAAGGGAAAAAATACAGAATAGAGAAAAATAGCCTAAATGAATAAAGAATAGAGAAACATAAGCTAAATAGATAAAGAATACAGAATAATGGGGAGCTGAAAATCAAAGAATAGCCTAAGGGAATAATTGTAAAAAACAGATAGAGAATAGAGAAAAATGACCCAAAAATTTAAGAATACAAAAATGAAGGCTCCCCATCCTGACCCTCTATAATGTTGATCCATTTTGTTTTGAGATTATATTTTCACCATTTAAGGATTTTTAATTTCCATACCCTACAAAGTGTACAAACTGCACTAGTTCGATTGTTATTGTAAAAACGCAATCGTCCTTAATATGATAATGCATATAATATTTGCCACTGGACGTTAAGCAAAAAAAAATCAATTTTGCAATATTCATCTAAGCAATATTGATATAAGTAGTCTTCATATTTTAACTTGAGCACATGACTCTTTTTGCATGGTACCAACATTCTTCTCTCGGTTGTTCCTTTGTATTGCATGGACGGACACAATATTTCAAACTTTAATGTATGACTTCATTAGTTAATAAATTTTAAAACATTTGATTAAGATTACGTTTACTGGTTATTGTAATCTATTTTTTCTTATAATGTGCTATTGATAATAATTCTTTTGGCGTCCTCTTCATCTACTGTGTGTCCAATCTAATTAAAACATAGATCCCTCATTTGAGCAAGGGAGTTGCGATAGATCTGAATTTTAATTAGATTGCTGTGTGTCCAAATTGGGTTAAATTAATATAAAGAACACTGGACTCCAGTAGAACTGTCTGTTCTCATTTTAATAATAGTTATTTTTAAAAATGAAATGAATAATTTTATAAATTTTAGATATTTGTACTGATAGCAAAAAACTCGAAGAAATTGCTACTAATTGTGCTACAAAAGACATTCTCTCGTTCTACCAGTCAACAACAACAGAGGCTAAGTGTGGGTAAGAAAAACCTAGTGAAATGAAAATATGTATCTCAGTATGCAATATATGTACATTGTCGAAAAATATATAATTTATGTGTACGAGCATTAGACAGAGGACAGGATTGTTTCGCATCGAGTACCAATAAATTTTATATTTTCCGTTTTAATATTGTTTTTCTTCTGAAATATTTACTCGGCACTTTTCGTTAAATTTTTTTTAAGCTCCAAATTTTGTTCTTTTAATTCAAATGTTTTTTTATGAAAATCAAAATTGGTTAAATGCGGGACGCAGAGAAGACGATCCCAAAATGAACTGTTACAAAAACAATAATTTAATATTACCGTTCGCTCAAGATGGAAGCAAAAAAAACAGGTGACTTTATTTGAACTAGAGCATAAATTTATTTGCACTGTTAAATAAGTGGATGATTGTAGTATAAAAGTAAGATACTTCAAATGATCATTGGTAACTTTTGCAGAAAACAATGTCTAAGTTACGAATAGAAATATGTTCTACAGAAAAGGGTTATTTGTTTTGATGATTAGGTAAATAGGGTAGGATAAAATGACTATATCAGAATCATACCAAAAGGAGGGATATCTTCAAAGCAGTCATTATTTTACCTGCTTAAAATGTATGTATGTTTTGAACCAAATCAATTATTTTGAATTGAAAAGTAAAGCATTTTGGAAGTCTGTTTTGCATTAAACAATTGAATGCACCATGGTCAATTCCCCATGAATTTATCTATAACTAATATCGGAAAGCTGAATATATGTAAGTTTTGTTTTAACTTGAAAAATATGTATGTTATTTGCAAATAAAATTCATTTTTAAATATTTTAACTACGAATGTGTTATATCAAAATTTTATCTTTGACAATTCATAACTTTACTGTAACAAATAATAAAATTATGAATTGCCCAAGACAAAATTTTAATATAACAATTAAATGCAAGTATAACGTCATGTAAATTCAAACTTTGTCGTTATATTTTATTATAGATATTTGCTGAATAATGTACAGATGTGTGTATTCGATACAGTCAATAATACATACGACAAGATCTGCTCGGCCAAAGACAAACACCAAATGATTGTGGACTTCAAAGATGAAGTGATGCAATTTCTACAGTTTGATATTAATTTATGTGAGTTATCTTTTTGTAAACATGCGGTTCATAAGTGTTTCTCGTTTCTCGTTTTTTATATAGATAAGACCGTTGGTTTTCCTGTTTGATTTGTTTTACACTAGTAATTTTTGGGGTCCTTTATAGCTAGCTGCTCGGTGTGAGCCAAGGCTCCGTGTTGAAGGCCGTACTTTGACCTATAATGGTTTACTTTTACAAATTGTGACTTGGATGGAGAGTTGTCTCATTGACACTCATACCAAATCTTCTTATATCTATTAACAGTATACAACTGCTTAGTGAAAAATTGAAAAAAACGAAACATATCTATTAAAAATCAATATCTTCTAATAGAATTGAGAATGAAAACGGGAATGTGTCAATGAGACAACAACTCGACCAAAGAGCAGAAAAACAGCCGAAAACCTCCAATGCGTCTTCAACGTAGCGAGAATATCCCGCATCCGGAAGTGGTCTTCGGCTGGCCCCTTTACAATAATATATACCAGTACTACTTATTGCTTTGTTTTATGGAATGCAATAGCTAATTTCACCAATAAGGTATTGGTACATAAGCTTATTTTGATGTGACGTGTTTTATTTGAAAGAGGTACAGTGATGAACAATTGCTTGCATGAATTAAATATATGGACATATGTGTCCCTCCGGAACAGTCTACGTGGACGCATATCTCGCTCCGGCAGCAAGAGGGTAAAGAAGCTTACTTATTTTCTAAAAAGCTGGAATTGTGAGGGTAATGATTCACAACTTTCAACTGCATGTCTTGACTTTTTTTTTACTTTAACGATGTCTTACTACGGTTTTTTGTCGAGCCTTTCGACTTTAGTCGAAAAAGCGAGACATAGCGATCCTACATTCCGTCGGCGTCGGCGTCGTCGTCATCGTCGGCGGCGTCCACAAATATTCACTCTGTGGTTAAAGTTTTTGAAATTTTTATAACTTTCTTAAACTATCCTTGATTTCTACCAAACTTGGACAGAAGCTTGTTTATGATCATAAGATAGTATCCAGAAGTAAATTTTGTAAAAAAAAAAATCCATTTTTTCCGTATTTTACTTATAAATGGACTTAGTTTTTCTGCCGGGAAATATTACATTCACTCTGTGGTTAAAGTTTTTAAAATTTTAATAACTTTCTTAAACTATCCTGGGTTTGTACCAAACTTGGACAGAAGCTTGTTTATGATCATAAGATAGTATATAGAAGTAAATTTTGTAAAAAAAAAATTCATTTTTCCTTATTTTACTTTTAAATGGACTTAGATTTTCTGCCAGGAAACAACACATTCACTCTGTGGTTAAAGTTTTTAAAATTTTAATAACTTTCTTATACTATTTGGATTTGTACCAAACTTGGACAGAAACTTGTTTATGATCAAAAGCTAGTATCTAGAAGGAAATTTTGTAAAAAAATAAATCCATTTTTTCCGTATTTTACTTTTAAATGGACTTAGATTTTCCACTCTGTGGTTAAAGTTTTTAAAATTTTAATAACTTTCTTATACTATTTTGGATTTGTACCTAACTTTTGTTTTCTTCCAGTTAACATTACATTCAGACTGCAGTTAAAGTTTTTAAACTTTTATTAGATTCATAAACTATCCTGGATTTTTACCAAACTTAGACAGAAGCTTCTTACAATCAAAAGATAGTATCAAGAGGAATATTTTTATGGACTTACTTCCTCATTTTTGTTGAGCCTGCGATTAACAGAAAAAGTAGGTGAGACACTGGGTTCCGCGGAACCCTTACGAATTTTATTTACTTTGTAGATCTATTCAACATGTCCTGTCTAACCTAGACTATTAATGATCTCTGGTAGTCTCTTCTCTTGCCTTCCATGTTCGATGTCGTTTTATGACAGAGATACGTGTGGTAAGGGAGGTTGGCATACACCATCATTAACTTTTTTCCTCGGTATTCATGTACTGTGGTGGTTTCGCGTTAGCGTGTTCGCCTTCAGTGCGGGAGGTCGTGGGTTCGAACCCCGGCTGGGTCAAACCAAAGACTTTAAAATTGGTATTTGCTGCTCCTCCACTAAGCACATGACATCAGGGAGTAAGAGCAAAGACTGTTCGGCTCACAGTCAGAATAATGTGTCCGGGTAAGGTGACATGTTTTCCCGCGAACTGTTGACTTCTGAACTTGCACGTTAAAAATCCAGCTGAGCGTGTCGGTCTCGTCCAAATCAGGGTTGATATTTACATTAGGGAGCTACGATTTGATTTTTATGGGGGGGGGGGGGGGGGGCTAGGATGAAAAATGTTGTCCTGCATTTTTTTTATAGCTGTAATCTCTGTGCTGCTTTTTTATTTTTCACTCTATTCGGTCCTGCATTTTTTTTTAATTAGTTTATCCTGACTTTTTTTTACATAAATTGTCATCCTGCCTTTTTATTTTGCCAAGTTGCTGATACTGCCTATTTTTTTACTCAAAACTCCTGTCCTGCCTTTTTTCAAATTTCATCCTAGCCCCCCCCCCCCCCCCCCCCCCCCCCCCATAAAAATCAAATGGTAGCTCCCTTACATTACCATGTTCCCGACCTGAATTTGTATTTTATTTTCAGGTAATTTATACCAGAGTAAAATGATTAGTGTGCTCATGTCGATAATTACCATATTATATGCAAGTAGCATATTTAACATTGTAGCTTTAGAGTCTCAAAGAAAGTTCAATCTTATATTCAAATTATGTTTATATTTATGTATCTCAGTGCTTGGAGTTTTTCCAGATAAAACTTAAATGACAAAACAAAAAACATTAACAATGAAAAAATAGCGATCAAAAATTTTAAAAGTATACCACAGGTTAGTTAGAGTTATTGCCCGTATACCGTAGATGCTGTCACAGAATAGAAGTTCCTTCATAATATAAGTTCCAAATGGAAACAATATTCTGGAATATTATTTCTACTGGAATAAATATTACAGTAAATGTTCCTAACGGAATAAATGGTATATAATATTTGTTCCAACAGGAACAGATATTATGACATTGTTTATAACAAAGTTTCCAGTGGAACTTCTGTTAGGTGGAACAAATATACGTTGACATATGCTATTTCCGTTTAATAGAAGTTTAGCATAAAAAGTTAAAGTATATAATTCTATCATGCAGTTTTAGGCGTATAAAACTGTTGATATCAGAAAATTTACATATGCATATTGGCAAATGATATAGAATGTAGCGTCCTATAATTCAAACCAGGTCTGTGGTTCTCTCCGGGCACCCCGGCTTCCTCCACCAATAAAAACTGACCGCCACGAAATAGCACAATAGTGTTGAAAGTGGCGTTAAACACCAATCATTTAATCAATCAATAGAATTCAAACGGTAATGAAGGTGGCGTTAAACGCCAACAATCAATCAATCAATCAATTGTTATATTTTATTAGGTATACCACAGAGATCATGCAGCAATATTGTGTCAATACTTTACTACCTTCCTGTAATATGTGAATCTGTATATTACCAGTTTGTCCAGACGGGAAACTGTAGGTGAGTTTTCCCGCCGATTTCTTTTTTATCGTCATTGGCTGTATATAACACGCATCAATGCAAAGCAGACACACCTTTTTGGCCCTTGAAACTATGGAGAAAAAGTTACTTATGCATAACAAGCATCGACTTTCTGATGAAAGAATTACAATCAGGTGTTTGAAATAACACTTTTATTACTGTTCTTCATTGTGTATCTTGTCATGCGCGTGCCGTGCCGCTTACGTGCTTGAAACTTTCTTATTTTCTTGTTTTTATAATTCAGACAATGATGGAGACATCTTTCTACAAGTGTGTACTGAAAGTTCAAAGGAAACACAATTTTAAAAACACACATTTTGAAAAAAAGAAATATTGTATATAAAAAGATTACGTCAGTCATAAACTGATGAACACTATTTTATCTCATCTATCTCCATGGACAATGTGACATCACTAAATCTTGGTGTCGATAGTCGTCGTAAAAGACAGGACCAATTTCCACCAAACTTGACTTTATTAACCCTTACAGTATTTAGTGTAAAGTTATGGTGTTTTTTCCATCAATCCATCAACATGTCTGTCATGGGTAAAACAAGAACATAAGGGTAAAATGCAAGTGATTTCTAATTTCTTGAAAATCAAATTTATGCTGAAAATCTGAGGGAGTTTAAAAGCTAGGAATGTCAAATTTTAAATAGGCAATTTTCATTTTACGGACTTTTGACTTCGGAGTTTATAATTTTTCGACATGTTACCAACTCTGTGGTAGGACATGCTATTACTCGGTTACGTAGGAGCACCTAAAAGAAGTAAATCCAAGCTTACAATCAGTGCAATTCGGGGGGAAATTAAACTCCGGAGTCAAAATCGGTAATATGAAAATAGTCTATTGATTAACTTGAATGTTCTCCATATCTTTAAATACCTAACTTGTTTTTAAAAAAATATGATTTTGAAAAAAGATAAAAGAAATAGCAATTTGGCATATTTGAAACGTGATTTAGGCGCTTGCCTGCCTCCTATTTAGTTTCCTTTCTAATACTTTCTTGAACTGTTCATCCTTTTCAGCATATATTTAGATAACATAAATTGCTACAAAGACAACATTAATACAACTGAATCCTGTGACAACAGTGTTATGGATGGTATTATCAAGTCTAATATAGATATGTGGAAGGGATCCACTAAACAGCAAGCCAATTGCCCAGGTAAAGCCCTAAACATATGGGTCATACATGTTTATTTTCTGCTTAGATATACGTAAAAAATGTTTACTGATCCTTTAACTATATAAATATGAATGATCCCGTGTAGAAAACATCTAATTAAGGTCAGGTGCTGATCCAGGAATTTAAAAAAGAGCCCCCTTGGTAAGCCAGCATCTGGTGTATTACTTGTAGAAAGTCTCTGCATTTATCACATTTTATGATACCGATGTCATAGTCGGATGAATGCTAAAGCAGGTATAATCGAGACCAAACGTTTATAAACACACTTCCCACTGAAGATTTAAAAAAAATAAACGATTGTCAATTTGATAGCATACGATTTGAATTGCAATGGAGAAAAAAATGACTGTGATAATGAAAATAAAATAGCTTTTGACATCGAGATAAATACTAGAGTGAAAAAGACAATTGGATTCGCATGGAACCTTGGTATGGCTTATCGTCGAGACGTCATCTTTGGCCGTAATGATACCACATATTTGGCTGTAATGGTAGTCTATGTAAATTCACATCTAAACCTATTGAACAGCACATGATTTTCATTATCGATACAATGTTTGCTTCAATATGATGCATGGATATTTATGCCATAAAATTCCATGAAATAGTACAATATTACCTTTTTATCATCAAAATAGCAAATAAACAGCTATCTTTCATTTTACAGACTCTTTTCATCTGTTACATCTTTTTTTATAGTGATTAAGATTACATAACAATGTTGACTGCTGTACCCAAATTTTTTGTCTCGCCTTGACGGAGCTAAAACGCGAGACATAATTATGCTGTTTCCGGCGGCGGCGTCAACAATGTATAAGTTTGTGATTAGGTCTGTGTTGTGGGGAACCACTAGTGGTAGGTCAATGATATTTTGTATGTAGTTGTATTAGCATTGGCACATCTCATTTCCATAGAGACTATTTTGCACCGCCTCAGTCATGGTATATTGATTTTGAAACTTTTGCCCAGTTTACATGTATTAGCTTGTGATTAGGTCAGTTTTGTGGTTAACCACTAGTGGTAGGTCAATGATATTTGGTATGCAGTTCTATTAGCATAGGCACATCTCAATTCCATGGAGATTATATGGCCCCGTCCCCTCAGTCATTGACTTTGAATTTTTTTCTTAGTGTACATGTATGAGTCTGTGATTAGGTCAGTTAATTGGCAACCACTAGCGGTAGGTCAAAGATATTTGGTATGCATTTGTTTAAGCATGGCACATCTCATTTCCATGAGATTATTTGACCTTGTAACTCAGTCATGGTTCATTGACCTTAAATATTTTGCGTAACTTACATATGTAATTGCATGTATTGCTATTTTGATTTCAACATTTGCATTTTACCATCGAAATAACAAAAAGGCGAGACATATCTCTGTGTTAACAGTTTATGACATTTTTGTCGAGCCTGCAAATATATTTCGTGTCGGGCGTCGGCGGCGCCAACATTTAGGTTTCAGTCTGTGGTTAAAGTTTTTTAGTCATCGAAAATTTCGAAAATATTTATTTTTATTTTTCCGTATTTTACTGATAAATGGACTTAGTTTTTTTTACAGTTAACAAGTAGATACAGTCTGGGGTGAAAGTTTGTTACACATCAATTACTTTGTCAAACCTTCGTAGAGTTTTATGAAACTTTGGCAGTAGCTTTTTAATGATTAATAGAAAATGTCTGAAGCAAACCTTTGAAATTATATTTTTTTCATTTTTAGTATTTTTCTGATAGATGGACTTCGTTTTTGTCGAGCCTGCGACTTTTGTCGCAGAAAGCTCGACATAGGGATAGTGATCCGGCGGCGGCGGCTACGGCGGCGGCGGCGTTAGCTAACTTCTTAAAAGCTTTATATTTTAGAAGGTGGAAGGTCTGGATGCTTCATACTTTGTATATGGATGCCTCATGTTACGAAGTTTCCGTCAGTCACATGTCCAATGTCCTTGACCTCATTTTCATGGTTCAGTGACTACTTGAAAAAAAAGTTAAGATTTTTTGTAATGTTAGATTCTCTCTTATTATAAGTAATAGGATAACTATATTTGGTATGTGCGTACCTTGCAAGGTCCTCATGCCCGTCAGACAGTTTTCACTTGACCTCGATCTCATTTCATGGATCAGTGAACAAGGTTAAGTTTTGGTGGTCAAGTCCATATCTCAGATACTATAAGCAATTGGTCTAGTATATTCGGTGTATGGAAGGACTGTAAGGTGTACATGTCCAACTGGCAGGTGTCATCTGACCTTGACCTCATTTTCATGGTTCAGTGGTTATAGTTAAGTTTTTGTGTTTTGGTCTGTTTTTCTTATACTGTATGCCATAGGTCTACTATATTTGGTGTATGGAATGATTGTAAGGTGTACATGTCTAGCGGGCAGGTGTCATCTGACCTTGACCTCAGTTTCAAGGTTCAGTGGTCAAAGTTAAGTTTTTGAGTTTTGGTCTTTTTTTCTAATACTATATGCAATAGTTCAACTATATTTGGTATGTGCGTACATGTACCTTGCAAGGTCCTCATGCCCGTCAGACAGTTTTCACTTGACCTTGACCTCATTTCATGGATCAGTGAACAAGGTTAAGTTTTGGTGGTCAAGTCCATATCTCAGATACTATAAGCAATAGGTCTAGTATATTCGGTGTATGGAAGGACTGTAAGGTGTACATGTCCAACTGGCAGGTGTCATCTGACCTTGACCTCATTTTCATGGTTCAGTGGTTATAGTTAAGTTTTTGTGTTTTGGTCTGTTTTTCTTATACTGTATGCCATAGGTCTACTATATTTGGTGTATGGAATGATTGTAAGGTGTACATGTCTAGCGGGCAGGTGTCATCTGACATTGACCTCATTTTCATGGTTCAGTGGTCAAAGTTAAGTTTTTTGAGTTTTGGTCTTTTTTTCTAATACTATATGCAATAGTTCAACTATATTTGGTGTATGGAAATATTTTATGATCTATTTGGCAGTCACGCAGGTTTTATTTGACCTTGACCTCATTTTCAAGGTTCATTGCTCAGTGTTAAGTTTTTGTGTTTTGGTCTGTTTTTCTTAAACTATAAGCAATAGGTCAACTATATTTGTTGTATGGAAGGATTGTTAGCTGTACATGCCTGCCTAGCATGGTTCATCTGACCTTGACCTCATTTTCATGGTTCATTGGTCAATGTTAAGGTTACTTGGTTAATGTTAAGTTTATGTGACAGTTGTAATAAAGATTTATATTTAGGACTATCAACATAATATCAATGATTAGTAAAGAAGGCGAGATATTTCAGCGTGTGCACTCTTGTATTTATTTACAGTTATCATTTACAGACAGTCTGAGATTTAATTTTTTTGACATGATAAATTTGTACACCTTCATGGATTGTTATGAAACTTGGACAGAGGCTAATCTTTAATACCAAGAAAAAGCATTCAAAGAAAATGTTTGATTTTTTTTTTAAATTCTGTATTTTACTGATAAATGGACTCACTTTTTAAGTCAGCATTAAACTTTTACTCTGACAGCAGCAATCGCAGGCGAGAGACAGGGTTCCGCGAAACCTCTTATGAATTTTTACATATAATGTCTGTTTGTTTAGCTCACACATTGTTGTCAATATAATGGAATTCTATGCGACTTTCATACAAGTGTGAGGTTTTGCTAGCTATAAAAACCTGGTTTAATCCACCATTTTCTACATTAGGAAATGCCTGTATCAAGTCAGGAATATGACAGTTGTTTTCCATTCGTTTGATGTGTTTGAGCTTTTGATTTTGCCATTTTTAAGGGACTTTCAGTTTTGAATTTTCCTAGAGTTCAGTATTTTTGTTGTTTTACTTTTTACACACCAGTTAAATGTCTTAATGTGGGTTTAATACTTTTACAGGTTTTACAGAGTCAGAGGACGGGGATACCAGTTCTGCAGATACGATGACGTCATATTTTTACAAACTCTTTTGTTTCTTTCTTTGTTTACCTTTTGTTTTCGTGATTCTTTAATAAAATTGTTTTTTGTACACAGTCTTTGAAATGTTTATTATAAAATTTTATCAAATAAAGTACAATGTTAGCGAAACAAAGCCAAGATGTCTTTTGGTTATTGTGTCGTCGCTTAAATGTTCATTCGCCATTTCAAATTAAAATCTGATGCATTATGGGTAATATTTTCAAAAGCGAACACCAAAACGTTGTGATTGGATGACAACATCCCAAACAATGGAATTTCAACCAACGACGTGACTTTATTTTCATTTTAGGGTACGAACAATGAAATAACCCATAGTCATTTACATTCTTAAGCGGCGAATTGACATACCTAACATTCCCTTTGATCAACATTTGCGTAGGGCAGATACACAAGTTATTGTGTTATAAAAAGTTCATTTGTTCAGAGAGAGTAATGACGTAAACGAAGGTCTAATAACCGATAATTGTTGTTTGTTAAATGTCCAGTGGCAAATATTTCTATGCATAATAGATCATAGATTATTTATGCTCCTGTTGTTTTTTAACATTGAATTGAACTACACATAGCCAATCATCTCTCAAACCGGTACATTTTAACCAATTCATATAAATTAGGACATGTATCTGTTAAAACAAACTTTTTAGTGCTTTGTTTATACAATAATCCGGCTATTCAAACAGTTTATTATCGATTCCCAGTCGCTTGAATTATATAAAGGCCATTTTTGAAGTTAATGGTGGACATAAGTTCGACTCGACGCACCATACATAGTTTAGATATATTTAGAATCAACAGTTTCACAAAAGAATCTTAAGAAGACATAACAAGTGTCTGTTGTCAAGAACACGGCATAAGGAATAAGAGCAAGGACTGGCAGGTTTCTAGTCAAATGTGCCTGAGAAGAATTATATATCTTCCTGTAGACTGTTATCTTGTTAGTTGGTATCATAAAAATTCCCGACTCAACAAACAGGACTAATTGGCCTACTGTATTTACAAAGAAGGGTATATTCGTTTATCTTACCTCCTATGCATCTCAAGGAATATGATTGGTTAAAAGCAACCGCGTGGAGACCGTGTATATTTCATATGGAGTAAGTAGGCGGGGCTTATTTCAATACACGGTTAGTAGTAGTGTTACGTCCCTTTATAAAAACAACACAGTGTTGAGGAAAAATCTCAAAGGTTTCAACAAACGAAGAAATTTATTATGAACGATTGAAATAAATTCATAAAACCAGAGACATATATACACAGAGATTGGCAACTGTAACAGTGGTCAGCGAAATCCAATTAAAAACACGCGTCACACGAGACTTTAACGAGATCGCCATTTTGCATCTGATCATGACAATTTCACCACCGCTTCGATTTTTATTTTACATCAAGCTTTTCAAAACAGCATAATGTAAGTATATATTTCAATTTCGTAAATTATTTACCTTGTTTTATTCAGTTTGTAGTAATTGTTCGTTAAAATATTGTGACGATTAACGTTTTATTGTGGTCAATAATAAGGGGAAAGCTTGGCCGACTGGACGTTATGAAAATTTTTTACACGGACGTATTTTTTATTAAAACCTTTTCATTCGAAAAGGAATAAAACCATTTATGAGATGAATCACTTTTCCCAAGACATACTGGTTTTGTGTAAATATGTTGAATTTTTCATTAAATCACCCACTTTGATGCAATTTACAATTAAAATTCAGTATTCTCGCTGTCGGCCACGTTCAATTTTTAAAATATAAAGACAGGCCCCTGTCCATGTCTACAGTCAATAAACTTTTCCATCTTTAGAGAATAATTATTCCCAGCACATGAATTACTTTCTTATGACATACTGGATTTGTGTATAACAGTTGTTTTTTACATATTTTCACCCACTTTGATGCAATTTACAATTAAAAATGACCATTCAAGCTGTCGGCCATTTTCCTTCTCTTCAATATAAAGACAGGCCCCTGTCCATGTCTACAGTCAATAAACTTTTCCATCTTTAGAGAATAATTATTCCCAGCACATGAATTACTTTCTTATGACATACTGGATTTGTATATAACAGTTGTTTTTTCCATATTTTCACCAGCTTTGATGCAATTTACAATTAAAAATGACCATTCAAGCTGTCGGCCATTTTCATTCTCTTCAATATAAAGACAGGTCCCTGTCCATGTCTACAGTCAATAAACTTTTCCATCTTTAGAGAATAATTATTCCCAGCACATGAATTACTTTCTTATGACATACTGGATTTGTGTTTAACAGTTGTTTTTTTCCATATTTTCACCAGCTTTGATGCAATTTACAATTAAAAATGACCATTCAAGCTGTCAGCCATTTTCATTCTCTTCAATATAAAGACAGGCACCTGTCCATGGCTACAGTTTATAAAATTGTCCATCTTTAAAGAACAAATGTACCCATCACCATTGATCACAGGAATTACTTTCCCAAGTCATACCGGTTTTGTGTATATAAATTGTTTTTTTCATTATTTCCACCACTTTGATGACATTTACAAGTTTATATACATGTATATTTACATTCAGTATCTGACAGCATTTTTTTGTTTAACAGGATCCTGCATGTTATAAAAGAACAAAGATGTTGATCAAATTTACCTAACAGTGCAGCATACAAGAGATGTAATATCATACATGTGCTGAATGTAGGACTCCCTAGCCTTTCTGATTGAAAAAAAAAGATTCCCTGGCAGACAAGAACAACTATTAGTGATGACTTTTTTCAAATGTTACTGCACAGTCATGTAGTGGACCGATTACATGTACTACTATCAATGTGATACTAAAAAATGGTTTTGTAAGAGAGAAAATGACATGTGCTTATCCTGACTGTGAAAACACCACATTATTGTAGTTCAAATATCATAGTTCATATGCCAAACTTGATGTACATGTGTATGCGATTTTTGTGCAAGTGATGGTGACATCATTGAACTAAGAATAAATACAAGACTCTGCATTCAATCTATTGAATTTGAAACAGAAGTGGCAGTTGTGCAGAGACTATACGGATAAAAATGAAAATAAATATCTTGTGTTCAACTTCATTTGTCTTCTTTACGTTTACAAAGTATACATGTACATAATTTTTACATACATGTATAACAATATGATGATGTAGTATGATTGCCAATGAGACAATGATTTACATGTATGACTATCATTGGAAGGCCACTCTATAATATCTTTGTATATCATGAGAATGGAAATGCTACCTTTGTAGCATAAAGGTAGCATAATGTAAAAAAGGGAAAATGTTCATTTATTCAACAACACTCCTGTGAATATATAACTTGACAGTACTAAAGGCAAAATATTTCGTTTCACAAATTCCTTCCTCTCCTCGGAAAATAACATATTTAATTGTTTACATGAAATGACAAAATGTGTAGAATAAGAAGCAATTAAGAAATGTTTACTCTACTTGTACACTACTAGTCGCTCATATTAGTCATCATCTATGTTTGTTTCAGTCCTTTAGCAATGGTGCTTGTTTATATTGATCTGTTGTGTTGTGTTGTTTCAGTTTTACATGTCCTCATTCTGTGATCACTGTTTCACCTCGCCTATTTTGAAAAATGTTAATGCAAATATTTTCTGCAATAAATTGAAAAGGCACAGCTGTTATGACTATTCAGAAATGTGAGGTATATGTCAATGAGACAACAACCCAACGACAAAAATATTCTTTGCACATCTATGAATGTTTAAGAATTCTTGTGGAGGTCAAAAGCACATAACGTGTACTTATATATTGGTGACCTGGTACATGTATGTACCTATTGATGCATTTCGTCCTAAACATAAATTGTGTGAAGAGACCAAGCAGTTTATATGCTTATAAAAAACTGATATTGCAATGAATTCCTGTATAACAAATTCCGGGAATGAGACACTATTTTATTTAAACCAGATGAGATATTAGTGGTAAAGGTTTAAACAGAAGCAGGAGATGTCAAGGGGCAATACAAAAAGTACAAGGTCGTGTAACACAGATAAAAAAATGACAAATGAAAAGAAAATAACAGCCCACATAGCACTGCACCGAAACATAAACCCACAAAAGATCAGATAAAACTTGTCTTCAATTTTAAATCTTTCTAATTTCAAACTCGAGTTTCACTACCCGATAGGAAAGAGTAAAGATAAGGATGTTGCAGTACTTCTGTGGTCTATGAAACAGAACATTAAAATTCTACAGTTCAGCAGAGCATTTTACTGCACTTATGATACACGTTGTTTTTAATCAGGGTCTGTGATATTAAGTCTATAAAAAACTACAAATAATGACAGATTCATATTCAATATTTCATGACAGCAAAAATAGTGATTTCGACAACACTGTACATAATGTACGTTCATTTAGGAAATTCATGCAAAGGTTCCACAAATAATGTAATTGTAGGTCAATCAAAAAGTAATCATTTAAATCCGTTTTCCACGAGACAAAATTCTACTGGCTACATATTTTTTTTATATACAAAAGTTGCTTTCTGATTTCTTTTTTTTTTTGACATGTTAAATGACTATTTTTGTTCCTGATTGAATACTATAGTAGAATGTAGGACAGTAAGTCACAGGACAAAAAGTCACGGACAAAAAGTCACAGACGAAAAGTCACAATTCAGTTTTGAGATTATTTTTCTCTGAACAAGAAAACACTAATTTTAAAAATAATTTTTTGATTTTTTATTGAACTATAATATATGAAGCAACTTTGTAATTAAAAATTTATTCAATAAATATCAATGATGATCAAATAATTGTTATGATAACAAAATGTCAAAGTGGTTTGGCACTTAAATGGCTTCATGGTGCCAAGAAATATATTATTTGCATGATTAAAATTTAATAAGTTTTCATTTATCAAGGCTTATGAACAATTTCCTGAACTTAAAAATGAATAACTGTAAAAAAATATATTATTTGAAGATCTTTCTCTTATATAATCAAACAATTGTCAATACATTATTTGTGACTTTTTGTCCTATCCAATTTGTGACTTTATGTCCTGTGACTTTCT